ACACAAAACGCGTAAAGAACAAAACACCATCGACCTTCATCCTCCAGAGGGACGGAAGTACTCGAGTGGTAAGCACGTGCCAAAAGCAACTATCTGCTAGCAAGACCCACTTTTTAAAGTTATTCCTAACCAAACTGCTATTGGCGCTAGCTTCGTGGTGAGCGCTGTAAATGAATAAATCTTATGCGCACTGGTTACCACATGAGCAGGGCTGAACATCCAAATGCCAGGGTGAGAGAGGAGCTAACAGTCACTGCGTCATTTTAGCGAAAATTTTGTTAGTAGCACGGAAAATCTCTGTGAATCCCCCACATCACCCCTCGTATCCTGAAAATGCCAGTCTGTGTAAATTCTCATGTAAAATCTTAACTTACCAGAAGCCAGTCGCCGAATCTGTGCAAGTTTTTGGAGGTGACGAGTCCAGCCAATTTTGAAACCCGCATTGCAAATTAACATATGTCTTGGCATATGCCACAAAACGCTGCAGCACCCAGCGCCAACCATTCCCTGACGCCTATTCAGTTGATATAAGCAGCAAGTTCGTGTACTTTGCCAAACATATGCTTTCACGAAAATATCATCAATCTTTCTGAACTGATTAAACAAACAAAAGAGAAAAAACTCCAGTGCAAAAATGCCCCCCTACACAAGTTCATGGCAAATGTATGAAGTTTTTTTTTTACCGCTTGTTTCAACAAAAAAAAAAATTAAGAAAAATAAAAGAAATTTCTGAAAAAAAAAGATTCTCAAGAAAAAATATCGTTACAGATCTTGGGCTTAGAGAATGTAATTGCAATCGTTCTACAGATATTAAATGTACATTTTCCAAGTCATTACAATCATTTCCTGACATGGGAGTTGAGAAATGTGAGACTTCAGACCAAATTACAAAGATCTGTTTACAATAATCCAGGCCTTCCAGGCAACTGCATTGTTACATAAGTCAAAAAACAAGTGAGTAAACTGTTTATTCAAACAAAACAAGCATGCAAAAAAAAAGAATTTCTTCAA